GGCGGTCTCTTGTTGCTTCGATGGGGACAGATAGGCTTTGTAATATTGACTCCTCAAGAAGCATGCGCTGTGATTTCAGACCACTAAATGAGAGAGATTCCAAGGTTGGTGAAGGCGCGACGCGTGTGTCATGTCAGGTGCTAGCGCGACGTTGCCCGCGGGCGGATCGCGTCCCCGAGCGTTCGTCAGCCTTCCGGAATGTTCTACGTCATCTTCTTATCTACCACAGCATCCCGAACAACGCCTTCACATATCCACGAAGCGTAATACTACCCAGGCACTGCCATAGCCGTCTACAAATCTCCTTCAATATGGACGTCGAACTGTATGTGTATGACCTTTCTCAAGTAAGTGGCTAGAGCAGACGCACATGCGCCATCTTTCGCGACGCTTTGTAGACGTGTTCAGAGCTGACGGCATCTAGGGTCTTGCGCGAAGCATGTCGCGACAATTCTTGGGCATTCAGGTAAGCCATATATCTTCCAATACTGGGTGCATCCGCTGACACATCCTTCCGAACAGATCGATGCCGTATATCACACCTCAATCGTACTCGACGGCATAGAATACTACTATGGATCAGGCGTGCAAACATGTCGGGCGGGCACCACTCACCATGGCCGACCGATGGAAGTAATCAAGCTGGGGCAGACTGCGCTTCCAATGGAGGTCATATTAGAGTACCTCGAGTCTCTCAAGGAAATATATACGGCCGAGGTATGGTCCCGTTTAGCGCTTTTGCGCAGGCTATGCTGACCGTCAACCCAGTCATACGATCTTTTCGCGCACAACTGCAACAACTTCTCCAATGACTTCGCCATGTTCCTTGTCGGCAAAGGAATACCAGACCACATCACTTCCCTCCCGCAGACCGTCCTGAACACGCCGTTCGGACAGATGCTCAAACCGCAAATCGACGCCGCTATGCGACCAATCGTTCAAGCGCCCACACCGCAGCCGGTACAACCGCAAGCTCATTCGAAAGCGTCGAGCGCAAGTACATCCAATGGGGTCTCTTCTGGGGGCAGCGCTTTGGAAATGAACACGGGCAGGGTCAACAACATAACAACACTGAAGGATGTAGACCGCCTTCTCGATCTCGCAAAAGACCGTTGCGCCATCATCTTCTTCACGAGCTCCACATGCGCGCCATGCAAGCTGGTGTACCAACCGTATGACGACCTCGCCGCCGAGACTGGCACCAAGTGTGTCTTCATCAAAATCGACTTCAGCCACGCCGATCGCTCCATCAACGCCCGCTATCCCGACGTTCGCGCGACCCCAACATTTATAACATACCTCAGAGGCGAAAAGCGGGACGAGTGGAGTGGAGCTGATCCCAGGCAACTGCGGAACAACGTGGAGATGCTGGTCAATGCCGCGTTTCCAGCGCACCCACATCTCGAGAAGAGCACACCCATGCTGTTGCGGCAAAGTCAAAGGCCTGTCAAGTTCACCAAGGTGCCGCCACTGGAGAAGCTTGTCGCGAAGATGGGAGATGCAGGAAAAGAGCCAGCTGTCTCGTCAGTGGTATCCTTCATACAGACTCGCGAACAATCTGGGGCCATAGAAGCACCTCTGGGGGATCTGCCGCAGTTCGCAAACTTCCTGAGGAACAGCACCTCAGTACTCCCACCAGAGCTTCTATTCACGGCCCTAGATCTGCTCAGGGTGGCCCTGACCGACGTCCGCGTGGCCGGCTTCTTCGCGGAAGAACACAAGGGAGCAACTGGCACACCGGCCACTATACACCATCTGCTGGACCACGTCGACAAGCTCGGCAGTTCCGCGCCTTACCCTCTTAGACTCACGACACTGCATCTCGCATGCAATCTATTCTCATCGCCACTCTTCATACCACACCTCCTCTCTCCGCCGCTCTCCTCAACGCTCATCTCCGTTCTAACAACCGCGCTCCTCGACGAGAAACACCCCGCGCTCAAAGCCTCGGCTCTCAGCCTAGCCATGAACATGGCATCTTCGAACCATCAAATACGCATGAAGAAGCACAGCGCAAACCCGTCAGCCTCCTTACCTTCCGAGACCGAGTTACCCGAGGCGGAGCAGGGTGAGCTTCTGGCTTCGCTGCTGGAGAACATTGGCACTGAAGACCAATGGAGTGAGAACCAGAAGATGGGTGTTATATGTGTTGGTTGGTTGGTGTATGCAGCGGATATGCAGGGCGAGTTGAGGGATACGTGGAAGGTTATGGATGCGGCGGGTACGATTGGGAGGGTTCAGGCGAAGGCTGGGGAGGATAGCTTGATGGTTAAGGAGGTAAAGGGGTTGTTGGAGGTGTAGTATGTAACAATAAGAGGCACCAACATCGGCTGAATTCCACTTTTTTCCAATAATGCGATGGGGGGTGTTGAAGGTGAATCGCCGACCCTTGTGTCATCACGGATCCATGGTACGCTGGCAATTTCACGTGCGCATTCGTAATGCGCCCACCATAGACTTTTCGGACTCAGACTATTCGCAGTCACATTTACATCGCAACGATCATCGGCCCAGCCTGCTCACCTTTATCATCTATTCCGCTCACTCTCGCCCCTTCGTGCCGACATCATGTGCGACGAAGACTCCAGATACCCTTCGGTTGCAGTCCCGCCAAGTGTCTACAGGGAGCTTGGATCATCGAATCGTGACCAGACGAGATGGACGATGAGACCATTTCAGGTTTCATTATGGACCAAAAACACGGTGCAATCGAAGCATATGCCATGCTGGCAGTGGGGATGCAGTATCGAATCCTTCCTGTTCGTGCGCCTCCCAATTGCGCTCCCAGTCTTGTGCAGTCCAGGTGATATGCTCCTCCAACAGCTTTTCAACGTCATACGAAGGGCCTAATCCGAAGTTGCAACTGACGAGAGCATCCTCTTTCGCCAATTTGTCGATGATACCCGAGAGGCCTTCGTATATGTGTGTGACCTGGAGCCGACGCTCCTGCCAAGATGGTGTTGGCAACATACCACGAGAATAGGCCGTGTCCAGGGCACATTGCCAAGCGATATCTCGTTGTACTACCCGGAATGCGTCGGTCGTGGGTGTATCCGGTGAGGTAGGCTCGCCTTCGAAGACAAGACGAAATGAACCCTCCGGCATCCTGAGATCGGGCAAAGCCAGGGCTTCCGCCATCCAGGAGCCCACCACTTTGGAGATGTGCTTAGAAAGCAAGCGATCATTTCGAATTCTTACCAAGGCCCAAAGATCTAATTCACGATTTTCTCCACAACGCTGGCTTGCTTCTCCATAGTCAAACTTCCGATAAGGCGTTACTGGGAAAGCGTTCCGCCAAAGACTGACAACGCGCTTGACGCGGAGCTTTGGGTTAGACTGACACAGTCTAATAAACCCTCTTCCATGACGATTGGGATATGCCACAGATTCGCGGTCTTCTAGAAGCATTATGCTTCTTATCTCGCTTTGCAGAGCGTCTGGCAGGGTGTAAAGGAAGCGAAGCGCATTTGAAGCCGCAGAGTATGTGAACTTCGTGTTGGTTTCGAAATGATGTCGTTCGAGCTTAAGGTTGATGATGCTTGCTAATCACTCAAGCTCAGTGCGATCAGGAATGACCCAAGGTTTTGGTGACTCATCGTTTACTTCAGTTGCCCGGCAGATGATTTCTGGCACCCGTCGTTTTGGTGCAGCGGGCGCTCTTGCGGCGAACCAATACTGGCTTAGTATTAGATCCAGAATGCGGTTTACGCAAGTAGGAATGAACCAAGGTCTCAACGACGTATAATCCACTTGATCGGGACGATACGTGTCCCACATCCCGGGTACAAAAGACGCTCTTGTAACGAACCGATCATGCTTTGACATCAAATCCAGAATATAGTGTTTGAAGTCCCACCAGACCGAAGGGGCCTCCCCGCAATGAAAGCCCTTTTTGTGAAGGATAGGAACATCACTTCCTGGGGTCCAGCCGTCGAACACCGGCGCAAATTGTGGATACGCTTTGACTGCTAACTCCACCTAAAGTGACAATATACGGAGTCAGTGTATGTCTCACACGCATCTCGTATATGGGGGATCTTACCATGTCGCGGTTGAGAAGCTGAGACACAAGCGAACGAAGCATGATATGCTTCCGGTATGCAAAACCACCCACCACAGCATGATGTACACCTGCAGCCACCTGTTCGCGCTGCAAGTCAGACGTTGAAAACGTAATTGTGTTGATGCGAAAGGCGAGACCTCGGACTTCGCACGCGACCTGGCGACAGGTATAGGAGAGGGACAGCAATATAGGTGGTTTATCGGCCTGTGTGAGTTTTCCGAGCTCAGCATCGTAGAGGTAGCCGTTTTCGACTGCAAAATATTGCTCGTAGATCATATCGCGAAGTTCGCGCGGCAGTCGGAGGAGGCTAAAGGACATCGTTTGTATAGCGTCGCGACTCAGTTTGGTGAAGTCTTGTAGACTGATGAGCTGAGCGTAACGGAGTAGGAGGTTGAGTAGTTGTGCAAAGTGCCACAGACGGGGCGCTTTTTGCAGAAGTGTATCCAGGTGCGTGGAGCCGCGTAGTCTGGTAGAGAGGCCCGCTTCCACACAAAACCTGCTCAGCCACGCACCCAGAATTCCAGCAGAATCACTCTCGAAAGACCAGATGGCGAGAATATTCTGATATGAAAACCATATTACAGACTACGTAAAGATAAGGACGTTAAAAGTGTGTGATATAACGTTAACGTAGGCTCTGGGGTGTTTAGTGCTTTTCTTAGGTTGGCGTGCTCGGATGGAGTGCGCACGCGTTCCCGTTCGTAGGCAAGCCTCGGCTCGCCCCACCTTCCGTACAATTCCCCCAATTTCGCCACAGCAACAACGACGTATCAGCACAACATGCAGGCATGAAGCCGTAACATCACGCTAGACAAGAGGATCGGCTAAGCAAAGGATTCCATTGAAGTTGATTGTAGATTACACGCTTGATGAATGCCTTGGCCCTTGGTTCGCAGTTGACACTGAATGCCACTCTTGTTCCAACGAATCCCAAAGCCTAGGGCCTCCAAATGACATGTCCCCAACGAAGCACATGCCAAGGTGGTAGTGGTGGCTCAGTCTGGAACACTTTCGGCTTGTGTGAGTCCCAGCTCATATCCCAGTAATGCGCAGACCATCCTCTGTTCTCTTCTAGTAGTTGCTCAACATCGTAAGGTGGAGGGAGCTCAAAGTTGGTTCTGATGAGCGGGCTATTGGTGGAAAGAGCTCGAACTGCTTCTGGTAGTCCTTCATAGATGAAACCACGGGTACCTAGTCGCCGATCGAGCCAGGAAGGTTGCGGTAGAATTCCCCGGGCGTAGCAGGTATCGAGGGCGGTCTGCCATGCGACGTCGCGTTGAATTACGTGGAAGGCGCGCGATGAAAGCTCTGGCACAGGATCGCCATCGAGAACGAGAGTGAAACAGCCATGTGGCATGCCGAGCGACACAAGGGTCTCTGCCTCTTTTATCCACGTACCCATCGCCTTAGTCATGTCCTCGGCGTAACATCTGGTGAGGAACAAATGCCCCTCATCACCTTTATCAAACAAGCTTTGATCGTTTTCCAAATAACTGGACAAGTTATGTGAAGCGATAGGGAAGACATTGCTCCAAAGACTGGCGCGGCGTTCAACTTTGAGCTGTGGATATGTTTGACAGAAAGGGATGAATCCTCTGCCATGGCTATCAGGAAGCGATATCGATTCGCGGTTCTCAATCAACAGGATCTCCCGAATGTTCTCGCGTGTAGTCTCGGGCGCGGAGTGCAGAAAGAGAAGAGCTCTTGAGGCTGCCGAATAAGCGTGCTTTGTGCGAGCAGAAAGGTGGAAAGTGTCGAAGGGCTGTCCCGAGATCCTCCGCAGCCTCGCAATTTCCGTGCCGTCTGGGATTTCCCAAGGTCTAGTATCAACATCGCTAACCAGATGATATTCGTTGTTCTTGAACGGCAGCTCAGACCATACTCTAGCATTCTTCAGAAATTCAGGGTGCTGAGAGACTAGATCCAAGGTGAAGGCTACAAAGTCGTGCCAAATGGACGGAGCCTCACCACATATCAGGTAAGGCCTAAACAGGGCGCGCTGGATTATCGAGTGACGCGGCGACTGCCAGTGATCAATCACCGGCGAGAATTGCGGATACGCTTCCCTCGCCGTCTGTGCTTGCTCTTCGCTGAGATAGTCATGCGTTGCGTAGTTGAGTATCGACTCTTTGATGTAGCGAATGGCATTGTTGCTTGCATGGAGCAAGACGGCATCTTCCTGCGTGGCATCCGAGTGGAAAGTCGTGAACTGAAGTGTATTGCTTCGCAGGGCAAGGCCATGGGTTTCGGCGGCGATTTGCCGGCAGCTCAGCACGAGAGACAATTCGATCGGTTGATCGTCGGCTCGCCTTAGCTTGTTCGTTTCGAAAACGTGTGTATAGCCCCCATCACAGCTGAAGTAGTAATCGTAGATGTGGTTGCGCAGCTCGCGCGGCAGTTGTAGAAGAGGCGACATGATGGTGATGGTGTCGTTGAGTATATTCGTCCTCTACAAATGCAGCCTCGGCTTGGTGAACTATCTGGCGGTTAGCTGGGGGTGAGGCTGTGTCGCGTTTGAATACTCACATTCTTTTGCGGGCGATGTGAATGCGGCTCAGACTCGGAGGGGGGGTGGTCTTGAATTGAGCTAGTTGTAAAAGGTGTGCTTTGGTACGCGGGCTGATTGCGATAGCGTAGAGATTTGCGAGCGAGACCACTGATTTGCAACTAATACAGCATCGTAGATTTGTGATAAAGACGTTGTTCGATGTTGTACTTGAGGAAAGACGAAACTCTTAGGCCTGCAACAAAATTCTTTGCTCCTCCACCTGTACCATGGTACTAACATTAGGCTGCTGTCTTGGCGAACTTGCAACACCGGTAATGCCACTGAACCTGATCCAAAGAAATAGTCCACCAGTCCATTGGTCCACCATCACTGGTCCGCAACTACAGCATCACCCGTAGCCATTTGAGCACATGCCACGGAGGCAATGGATCCTCAGTTTGGAAGCTATGCGGCTGGTGCCAGTCCCAACTCAGTTGCCACTGTTGTAAAGACCAACCACGGTACAGCTCAAGAACGCTCTCAACGTCGACCGGTGCACCCGGATCAAAATTGCAGCTGATTGGCCCATTCCAAGTTGACATATCGCGGATCGCAGCTGGAAGCCTTTCGTATTGGTATCCCGCGCAAGTTCGTCGCTTATACCAAGAAGGAGTAGGTAGAAGTCCTCGAGCATACGCAGCGTCAAGTGCTAGTTGCCAGGCAATGTCTTGCTGTACAATCTTGAAGACAGTAGAGGTGTGTTCAAGCGTAGGAGTGCCATCTAATAGCACGCTGAACGAATCCTGGGGCATCCCGAGTGAAGACAATGCCTGAGCTTCAATGATCCATGCCCCCACTGCCTTGGTGATTGTCGATGAGAATAGACGGTCGTCTTCCATACTATCGATGCCGCGGCGAGACTCGCTGCGTAATATGTAGTCGGCCTGTGAGTCAGGCCTCGCTCGAAGTACGGTGCTCCAAATGTCCACGATACGCCGAACGCGGAGACGCTGATTAGATCGACATAAAGAGATGAAGCCTCTTCCGTGAGACGCCGCGTTCGCGATTGATTCGCAGTCTTCGTGAAGTACAACATTCCGCACTTCGTTACGGCACGAAGACGGTATCGCATGGAGGAAGCGCAGGGCTACGGAGGCCGCCGAGTAGCGATATTCCAAAGAAGGGCAATATGTGAGAGGTTCGACCTGCACGATACTTGCTAGTCTGCTGACTTCGGCAGAAGTTTGTACAAGCCAAGGTTCTGGAGAGGCCTCGTTCAGAGCTAACACATTGCAAGGTGCCTCCTCGGTCCAGAAATCAGGCATAGACTCCGCTTCTGTGTGACATGCGGGGTGTTCCGACAGCAGATTGAATACATAGTTGATGAAATCTTCCCACATAGATGGTGCTTCTCCGCAATCGAAATCGTCCTTGTACAACGCGGAGATACTCCGGTGCGGAGTCCAATCGTCAAAAATGTGAGCGAACTGCGGGTATGCGTCAATTGCCCGTTGTACCATGTCGTTGGAGAGAACCCGAGGTATGAGGTGTCGTAGCAGCATCTTCTTGCGATGCCTTATAGTATACATCGCTCCGTTTAATAGACCGGCTTGCTGTCGTGTGGACTCCGAGAAGCGGGTATAGAAGGTGATGGTATTTTGCCCGAGCGCAAGCCCTCGCAATTCGGCTGCGATCTGGCGGCATGTAAGAATGAGCGCGGTGGAGATGGGAGAACCGTCGGCCTGTAGAAGTCGGTTTGTCTGCACAAGTGTATCTGACACGCCGTGAGTCATGGTACCCATACCTCGAAGTTGTGGATGTAGCCACCATCGACCTAGACGTAATGCTCATAGATGAGGTCTCTCAGCTCGCGTGGAAGGCGCAGTATTGCCGGCGGTGTGGGCAGAATGTTGTCGACATGTTCCATATCAGATTCGACGAGCCCAGGTGTCTCGGAGTGGTCGATGGATTGAACTGGCTTCATAGTGAAGGTTCTGTGGCGGTCGGTAGCAGAAAATCGAGAAACAGAACGGTGTTCTTATAGCTCGACTTAAGGCCACGTAAGATTGCAGAAGAGCTCATCTGGTCAGGCTACGGTGGTCAACCAGACACCGTGATGGCATGTAATTGTGGCCTTCCATCTTCACCCAGCTGCGACACTTCGAAGACCTTGGTAAGGCCACGATGCGCCATTGCTAGTGATTGCGTGTACTAGGTATATCTCTCTCGTCTAGGCAGCAGAAATAGGCGCAGGGTTGTAGAAGGCGGGCGGTATCGTGTTGGCGGGGAAGCTCGCGTCCGGTACGCGGTAGTGGTTAATGGAAACAGACGCGATGCGGTTCGTTGAGACGCGTCGGTGACGTCAGCGCCGACACACTAAAGCGTCTTAGGCAGCCACATCCAACGCGCCGACCAGAAGTTCGACAAAGACATACCTACAAACCCATGGATCGTTTATGACCTCGATTCAACGTCGATACGTTGCTCGATTCAAGACGGAGGAACGATTGAAGAGACCAGGTAGATGCACCCCCAGTCTGCGTCAACAGTGCACTCTATTCTTCGGACGCAGTGCGCGAACCCGCATTTGTCTTTAATGTTCTTACTTATGAGCCACCTCCCACCGCGGTATACTGAGGTAACATACAGGCTGCAATCAACGCCTGTCACGAAGGATCGAACACACCCTTCCGGAGTACCTGACTCACGTCTTTGGATGCGGCTTTGACAGGTGCTCTATTGCTGATGAGTCACGCTTGCGCGCCACATGTACATCTTCATCACGTCAACAACGTTCGACACATTCCGTCATTGATTCCACCAAGACATGAGTAGTGAGTATCTGCTACCTCTCGTCGACAGATTGTTTTGCGAATCTCCACGATGCCGCCTTCGAGCCCCCCAGCAAGCACGCAGCTTCAATCCCGACTCTTTCGTCTCCCTAGGGAACTTCGAGATGTCATCTACCACCATTACCTATATAACGAAGACGGCCTTATCTACAGTTTCGAAACCAACAAACTCCCTGTCGATTTGTCATTGACGTACACTTGTCGTGCGGCCGCACTCGAGCTTCGAGGCCTTGCTCTGCGGCTTAACAAGGTCGTGTTCTGCACAACCTACCCGCATGCCATTCGAACGCATGCGTTTTTATTCCACCGAGCGCTCTCCGAGTTACACGCCCTCAAATTCAACCTACTCAATCTCCAAGCTCCGCGTCTGTTAACTGAAGCGATCCAAAAAGAAGCCTCCGTCAAATATCCACAGTTCTCACGGGTCCTGCCGACACTAGGAACGCCAGGTGAACGCCCGAACACCTTGGGAGAGCCACCATCGACGTATCGCGATTTTGTTCATTTCACACTGAATCTCTTGTATGACCGCAAACACCACCCCAAACTGGGCGGCAAACGTTCCGAACGCAAGCGCCGAAGTCTACGAAAAGTGAATCCCGAACCCTGGTCAACGCCCAACGAGAGGGGCAGACTCCCACGTGGTGCAGAGGGAAAGTTTGGTTATTGCGCCCAGGGCAGACTCGGTCACGACCTTGCGGCTACATTTGACCGCGAACTCCAGCAACTAGTCGACATAACCAGAACCCATGATCGTGTCGGGACTATGAAACACTCCTTGTCAGCAGCAGCATGCGCAATACGTTTCCTTCGGTCTCTCCGCGTCGATACGCGTGAGCACGTGCAACAGGTTGAACTCATCGAGGACCGAGAGTCTATTTCGTTCCCGGAATGCCATGGCAGGGGACTGATATCGTTCTGTCGTGAGCACCCGAAGTTGCGCGTACATAGGCGTGTCAGTCTCTGGAAGAACGCGTTCCCCGTAACCTCTGTGATACGGTACCAGTTGAACGGGCGATACTCAGAAGACGATCGACTTAGCTCCAGCTACGTCTCAAAAGCAGTTGCGAAGTGGATGGTAGAAGCATCTATATTACCCTCCCTGGGTATGCCCGAGGGCTCTTTCAAGCTAACTTTTGAATGCGACTCCGCCCCCGCAGAGACTACACAGGTCTTCAACGTCCTCCAGCGAGATGCTGCATGGCAGACTGCCTTGGATCTAAGTTATGCACGGCATATTCTACCGCAGCCAACCTGGCACCAGCGCAGACTCCGCAAGGCATACGTATACGAGACCTTCCCAGAGCTTCTAGAGCAAGTCACCAACTGTGACCACCCTTTCATTCATTGCGACTTCCACCCAGGCACGGTGTGCAATCCGGAGGAAATCATCCGCGAGCGGAGGGGTGACTCACTGGAAGAATGGCGTGCAGCCTGGCTTGATCATACGCCTCGAGAGTTCCAAACACCCGCCAACATGCCTCCGTGGCACGTACTCCGCGCTGGCTTTATAGTTTGGGACGTTTGGGGAGGAGCGCGATTTCACGGTTAAGGCTGCGAACGCAATCTACCCTGCGATCATTCAGTATAGTTTACACTATGATCATTACTTCGGACTTGAGTTTGGGCAGTGCGTACTGCAAGTAGATCGGCTGCTTCCGTTTCGGCGGGAATAGCGCATCAAAGACATCTCAGGTAGAATATCACACAATTACAGACTAATTGATAGAGAGGCTGAACTCCCTCCTCACCACCCCTCGATCCCCGCTACCACATCGCTATCTCCTCCTTCGCCCCCCTCTCCAGCTTCGGCTTACGAAACGTGCGCGTTGCCCCTACACCCAATACTCAGCCACGTTAATCAAGAAAAACTCTAAACAGGCCTGCAGCATACATCAACATAAAAACCTAAAAGATAGGTAACACAGCATCGATGTAGGTCCTAGACCTGTCCAGCATTTTTCTTATACAAGGTGCAGCCAAACCTCCCCTTCCCCCGCCTACTTCCTCCTCCCATGTTTCGCAATCAAACTCCTGCTCTCCCCACACAGCCAGATATGCGGCCCGGCCTCACCGTCCTTAAGCCCATGCTCATTGATGATATGCTCAATCTGTTTTGCGCGCCCGCGGTTCGCGCTCAGGGTGGTGAGGCTCTCGGCCCAGCCGTAGAGGAAGATGGACTTGTTGAGGTGGCCGAGTTCGGCGGCGACGGCCGTGGCGGCGCGGGGGAGGTTGTCGGTGATGGTGTTGACGTTGGGGGTTTTGACGGTTATGGGGAGGGCGAAGTTGGGGGGTGGGGGGTAGTCGGATAGTGCGGCCTGGTGGGAATGTTAGCTTTGGGTTGTTTGGGGTGACGTGAGGGAAGAGCTGAACACCGTAGAGCCTACATCGAGATGAAAATATGCAAAGTAGGTGGCCCAACGTCAACGTAGGCTCTAGGGTGTTTATCTTTTTCCCTTGTATAAGGTTGTGGGGTGATGTGAGGGGACGTACCCATACTGCGACTAGTTCTTGATGTGACCATGATGCGCAGTCTCCTTGTCCCAATAGTAGATCCGCTCTTGTCTTCTCCGTGTCAGTCGCAAGAGTCTGCACTATCAGGTTCATCTGCTCGGCTGCTTCGCGCGTGCACACCATCGGATGCGCGCCGATGGCAGGGTATAGATGTGTTGGTAGCAGGTGCTCTTGAGCCTCCTCCTCGATCTGGGAGCGTACCTCCCCTGGATACCAGTCCAGTATCGGGCATGGTTTGTGGGATATGTCGGATATGAGGGCCAATAGAATGGTGCAATCGACGTTCAATGTGTCGCTGAGGGCCCGGGACCTATCGATGAGTAGACGCGGTAGAACAGCTTCTATGGAGAGCGCGGGTGGAACGTCGTCTCCGCATTGTACTATCGCACCGGTAGCGCGTATCTTGTTGATAATCATATCGATAGCTGGTGTTTTCCCAGCAGAGATCCGTGTTAAGACGAACCGCACCTTGGGTGGTCGGCCGCGAATAGGATTTGCACGCGCAGCTCTTGCAAGACCTCGCGCGTTGCGCACCACGTCGATTTGGTCTTCATCGTCATCGTCATCTTCCGGTGGAGGCGGCATATCTTCATCGTCTTCAGAGTCCGAGTCGTTTACCCAACCCAACTTCGCAAGATCGAATAGAATACGCTTCTCGGAGACGGTTGATACCCGTATCCACTCCGCACCTTCTTCTGCAACGATATCAACGAGGGCAGAGGTCTTGTTCTTGGCTTGGCTTCCTTTTGCCAGGCTGACTCCTTTTGTTGTACTTTTGCCCGCTGGAGCTTTATGCCGGTCCCAGAAGAAATATTTGCGGAAGCTTTGGATTCCCATTGAGCGCTTTGCTGCGCCCCATAGTGCTTCATAGTAGAGAAGATTTGAAGATACAATGTAGTGCCGGGCTTTTTCCTCATCCATGGATGATCCCGCAATCTTCTGTAGGAAGGCTAGCTCGTTGCGCATGTCATTGCGAAGACTTCGATATCTAGTACGGTTAGTTGTGGTCTGAGACTGCCAATCTAATCACGAAGCAGCTCACCCCTTCTCAGAAGAACCTCCCCTGGAGGTATGCGCTATGTTGTGTACTGTCAATGTGAAAGCAGACCCACCGCGAACACCTCCAGGGTCATATGAGGTTTAATCTGGGAAGGCGGGGAGCCTTCGTTTAGATGACTATATCATTGTAATCGCATCTACGTACTCAACTGGATTGTAGACCTTCCCGACCTTTTGCTTCTCGAGAACCGCAGCAATGTAGGTCTCTACCTCGTCGTTGAGATGATTGCCACGCGCCACTAGCTCTTGAATAGTGGCTTCGAGCTCAGCCCTTGGGGTGGGCATTTTGCCCTCAGCTGGCTCTTCCCCAAGACCAATTTGGCCGAGGCCTTTGGTGATGGACTCTGCCATGATCACCTCCGACCGGGATAAACCTGGATAGGCCTGCGGACTACACTATGATGAAAACTAGCAAATCGGAAGATCGGGCGACAACGTAGGCTCCAGATTGTCAGCTTGTTCCTTGGATGGGGTGTGGTGGTGCCACTCTTGTGGTAAGTCTGGTCAGTTTGATAGTGCACGCAGGGCAGGTGAAGTACTGCACTCGCTTAGAATTTAGCGAATCCCTCCTCTTCCTATTCAGCTCCCAGCGTCCGAGAATTGCTCCTGGTGAGTAGTAGTCCGGGGTGGTGGAGAGTTGATAGAATAGATTTCGATTTCTGAAGATGAAGTACGGGAGCCCTGACTCAAGCACTAGTCAAACCGTGGAAGGTTCTCGGGTGGTGGCGCAAGCAGCAAACTGCTGTTGCCTGATAGGTCGGTTCTGGTGTCAGCCCTTTTCTGCATCCTAGGTTCCTGTCGCGTGGTACCTGGGTAGAGTCGCGATTCTAGTCTGGCCCGACGATTCCCCGGCCGACCCCGCCAAAAGTTGCCCGCATACCGAACCCACGCACCGACCACCATCCTCATCTCTCTCTCCCTCTCCCCCAGACACCACCAACCCACGATGCCGTACTTCGCAACGAGCCAGGAGTGGTACGAGCAGTCGTCGCTCCTGCTCAAAGCGCGACCGACATCCGTATGCTAAGCTCCACTTCACACGCACGCACGCGACCCGCCTTCTAATCGAGCTACTAGACACGCATCACGTCCAAATACTCTGTCCTCAAGCCCACCGCCTCCAAGATAAAGAAACGCCAAAAGTACGAGGAGAAGCGAGCTTCGAAGCCCACAGAAACAGCGCGCGCATCATCACCGCCGCCGCAATCGCAGAATCCCGAAGAAGTCACCGTGTTCTTCACGCTGAAGACGTACGACCCCGAGTCAGGGACATGCCTACAATATGAGACCAACAAGGGCGCCGAAGTCGGAAGATTGATTGGAAACCTGGGCAGGCTGGGAAGACACATGGCAGCGCTGCCGGAGACAACGGACGATCTGAGCATGCCGGCTGGCGGTGAGGCCACATCCACACCACAGGTCGATGAAGGCGGAGATGTGAAGATGGGCGGCGTCCTAGCGGCTGGCGCGGGAACTGGAGGCAAGAAGAAAAAGAAGGGCAAGAAATGAGTAGGATTACAGCACAACCATACAATAATGCACGCGCCGGGCAGGTCGCCCAAGGCAAACGAAGACATTGCGACGCACGTACACGATACCACGAGGCTCAGGGATATCGATTGCGGTTCAATGATTGATAAAGGGCCAAGGCATATATGGCGCACAGCCTGCGAAATGAAGATACCCAATTCCACTCCCAGCCTGCCCGTCCGTGAACTTCTCACAGCTGCCGTCCATACTAAGACTTCCTAATAGCCTTACCAGCAGCCTCAGCGTACGAGACACCCTTCATGCGCTCCCTAAGCTTCTCCTTACGCTTCTCAGCCTTGCGCTCTTCTTTCTGCTTCTCCATCCGCTCCTTGCGCTCCGCCTCCTGCTTTTGCTTCTCAGCCGCCGTCCTGCCGACGATTTCCCACTCGGCCTTATCCTGCTCGTGCAGCGCTTCGTCTTTGTCTACGACGTCCCAGTTGTCCTCGCTGTTGGCGCTTGACTCGGGTGGGTTTAGACCAGCGTTGTTGGTTTGGTTGAGGAAGTCCTTGAGGTCTGACGGCGGGCCTTGCACCGCGGTGGTGGGGATGCTGGAGGACATCGTGGTGATTTGATGAATAGTCTGCTTGCCGAGGATATTATGGTTTGAGTAAGTGAGCGAAGGGTTGAGGGAAAGTGTAAGATCTGAATGTGGTGAGCGTTCGATGATAGTGGTTTACTTGGGTATTGGAAATGGTTATGGTGCTTTACTGACGGGTTACAGAAAGTATATGTACTGGCCCGGCCGGTCGCATTGCCTTCAATTCGCGACTCTCATTCACAGCTGAGTTGCTGCAGTGAATGTCGAATTACCACCGCGCAACCATGCGTGCGTCACATTCCGCCGTTCGAAGGCGGCGAAATATATTCTCTCGACCGCACCATGGTTCTCGCACGGTGGGCGCGCGCGCGAACGGGCTCTTGATCATGGGAAAGGTGCAGTTTCTGGAATTGGCGGCATCACAACGATTCACGAATGCGATACGTTGTTTCAAGACTGCCTGCGAGACTGCAGGGTGGGCGCATCCATGGGGCCAGATTGATGTTGCTCATGTTGATGGTGGTACTGCTTGTCACAACTCCGAAGGGCGCAGCTCATGAAAGCGCACCCGAGTGCGTGGTCAATAAAGCTATGCCGTAATACTAGATGGCGATCTCTTCTTGCCCTGAAGAATCCCATATCTCGGCTGATGTTGTCTGTTTGGCGGGTACATGGGTCGTTCCTTCCGCTTCGGGTTAAGTCTGTGCTGCGGCGCAGCATCAACATTGATTAACAAGGGGCAGTCGCGATCACTCAACCTCCACGTCAAATCCACTGACAGTCCCCAGACCATGAAATTCATTCAATTTTCGCGTTTTCCACGTTTTTACGAGCTCCTCTGCCCAGAGCTCAACCAACGCCAACCGCTCACCCAATACAAGTGCAAACTTCAAGAATTATTCGAACCGAAAGACGAGACCTGGTTTTACAATACCTTCGCAAAAGCCCGATCAGGTGCGGACCGGATTCAGAACTACCACCCTCCGGCTGGAGATCTCTTCGAACGCCTTCCAAACGAAATCATTGACGAAATATTCGATTATGTGCTGCTTCACAAGGATGACAGCCTCAACCTTGACAAACGCAAGGATGAGGAACTTCACGACAAGGTTGAACATGACGCCCTGGGCGACCTAGATTCCTTGGGCCTTTCCTCTGCACGCCTATGGCCACTGCTCCTGGAGCGCATCCATCGGAACTACCAGACCAACTGGTCAGGCAAGAAGGTTGGCTTCCACGACTACAACCTTGCCTTCACTGCTGAGTAAGGGTATAACTATGGTATCGCGTATGAAGTGATTGGTCAAGGTGGGCGCCTATATCCACGGTGGAAGAGTTTGATTCAAGGTTGGACATGGGAACACTTCAGCTGCCTGCCAGATATGGCATGGCGTGTTGCTTTCATTCCCTCCTACAGATCTCGATACTCAAACACGAGCGACCTAAAGTCGATGAAGTACGAGATAGAGATTCCACCAGATGATCTGGAGAAGATCGAGCGAGATCTCCGGCGGACGAATTTGCGTTCCACAGAGACAGAGTGGGTACTACGCAACCTAACGACCAGGCAATGCGTACGTTCGGATCGATTGCAAGAGCCGGCCTCCGCAGAGCCAGAGTGGCCTCCCCTGCCCAAGTCTCAGGAAAAGCTGATGACCAGAATGCGGCGACAGCGCAAGGCCCTGATACAACGAATGAAGAATGAGGCAAAGGAAGACTATGTCTCACCTTGGCCCTTTGACCTGGCGAATCTGCCACTTACTCTGGCCAACATCTTCCTGGTTCTGACCTGTGACAGTGCAGAAGTATTACCATCATACATTCCTAAAGATGACCCCGAAAAATATCTGCACTTCCACGATGCCCCCTGGTGCGGTTGCGCATTCGAACTCATGCCGCTGGACGATCACTTGGATGCTCAAGAACGAGGCTTGGACCCAACAGCTCCAACAAATGAGACGTGGATGGATGTCAGTAGAGAAGTGGTCGCCGATATGGCGAACTTGCGCTTCTGCATCCAGAAAAATATCGCTATCTCTGAAGAAGAGATCAAAAGGAATCTCGATACTGCAGAGAGACGAGGTGAACAACCAGCATGGCATGCGTTTTGGGTCAACTTCTACGCCAGCGTTGGAGAGACAAGAAGGCAGCATCGGTAGTGGGTGAAGACATGTCCGCCTAGACCTTGGATAGATGAGAGCATGTATGCGGAAACGTAGGTAGTCGAAGTGACCGGAACAATCCCATCTTCACTTTCACCTCGCTTCAATACAACACAATAGGAAAGAGATGCTTCCACCCAACTCTATCGTCGTCTGCAAAGCTATTGTACATCTGTATTCTGCCAGTTCTATTGTTACCCCGTCATCCTCCAAGGTATCAAAACCTCGCCATCCCCTCTTCAAAACTACCCCCAGACACCTACAACACCTTCCACCCCCTCATATCTTCCAGTCCAAAAACATCGACATCCTCCTCGCACCCTCAAAACCTAGCTCTCCACCACCCAAGAGTAGCTGGACTACTTCGGCGCCTCCCTCACTCCTCCACAATGAGCCCCCACTCGCGCCTTTGTCGCCGCCTAACCTGGCACCTCTGCCGCGCGCGCCGCCAGCTCGAGCGCCGCATGAATGGCCCACCAGCCATGCGAACGCGAAGCCGGGTCGCCGCCATATCTTCACCAGCACAAGTCACACCCGCAACACCAAACACCCCTGCCGACAGAACCGGCACCCTTACCAAAAAGCCCTCCACCAAGAGGCAACTCCTCGCAAGCTCAAAGCGGCTCGGCAGAAAAAGACTGGCGCTGAAGCGGCATTTGGAGAAGAAGAAGAAAGACATGGAGGAGAAGCGGAAGAGGACGTTTGGCATGGGGCAGCGGATCAGGCTGCTGAGTCAGCTTGGTCCGGCTGGGGAGTTGGAAGAAGGGAGGAGGTTGGTGCCTGCGCAGCGGAAGATTACGACTGTGGAGCAGATGAGGGTGAAGAGGGAGGGGAAGAGGGTGGGGAGGAGTCCGTTGGGGGAGATGTGGTGAGGGGGGGTTTGTGGAGGGGAGGCTGTTGGGGGGATGTCTTCTTCAGGGGGTTGTTTGGGGGGAGGGTTGGAGCGCTGGTCGCGAAGTGTATTCTCCAAACGTATATATGGTTCGACGGTTGGAGCGCTGGTCGCTCCATGTATTCCTCAAACGTACATGTACTTCGAAAACAGAAGCGCTAGTCACTTCACGTCGTCACCCGGCTTCCTCCTATCTACAAGTTCAACAACACACTCGCCAACCCCATTCCAGCACCCCACGCCGCACCAACACCCAGACCCCGCTTCTGCGCCTTACCCTGATACTCCGGCATACCGGCCCCAGCACCAAAGTCATACTCGAAGCCTCCATTGAGCGCAACAGGGCCCTGGACACTTCTTCCAGTACCAAGAATAGTAATATTCTTAACAACACACTCCGTCGCGTATCCAAAGTCACCGTCCATGCTGAACTTGCCGTTGTCGTAGGAGAACGTGATCATGGACGTAGACGGCTGCTCGATGCTATCGCCGTCGTCGAGGTACAGCGAGCCCGAAGCCTGATTCGTCGCGTTCGGCGCGATCCACAAGACAAAGTCCTGCTTCCGCAGCTCGGTCGTCGTGTTTGCGGATTCAGCGCGCAGAGGCAGGATGGAGCCGCCGCGGACGTGGAGGGGGATGGAGTCGAAACCGATGTCGGTGAGGTCGATCATGCTTCCGTTTCCTTGGATGCGGTCGCCGGTCCAGTAGTCGTAGAAGACTTCGTTGGGGAGGTAGATGGATACACTGGTGGAGTTTTCTTCCAGAACGGGCGACACGAGGATGGCGTCGCCGTAGAAGAATTGGTATTCGAGGGCGAAGGTGTTGGGGTCGGTGGGGTAGTGGAACCATAGCGGGTTTAAGCTGGGTTCTCCGGTGGTGGTCTGGCGGTGGAAGGCCGTGTAGAAGTAGTCGAGTAGACGGTAGCGGACGCTAATTGCGTTCTTGGCTGCGGCGGTGGTCAAGGGCCAGCGGTAGTACTCTTGGTCGATTGACGTGTCGCCAGCGTGGTTCCTCATAAAGGGGTAGAAGGCACCGAGGGTGGCCCAGCGTGCGCAGAGGGTCTCGGTGGTGTTGCCGGCGAATCCGCAGATGTCGGGTCCGACCATGGGGATCTGGAAGATGGAGTTGAAGTTCAGGATGCCGGCAATGGAGAAGCGGTATTGCGTCCATTCGGAGACGTTGTCACCGAGCCACTTTCCGAGGTAGGTACCTAGACCGACGAACTAGTCATTTCGTTAGCTGCGGTGTGATTTGATGACATGTGAAGACTTACGGTAGAGCGAGTGATTATCAACGGACGGCGTTCAGGACGGCGCGCAAGCATACTCTTGTGCGAAGCAATCGACATCATCGAGCCCCAGAAATTGTGAGTGTCATAGTGGTATGTTCCATCGTAGTTCTGGATGTCGGTGTCGAGGGTCTTGTTGCTGATGGAGCCAGCAGCGTTGGCAATCTGGTACTCAGGGTTGATCAGGTCACGGCCGGGAAGACCGGGGTGCGCGGCAAGGTCTTCGGTGTTGTTTGAGGCTTGACGCTTGGAGTTGGAGCGCTTGCTGAGGGGAGAGCTTGAGCGAGTCTTCAGCGTGGAATTGGACTGAGGCTGGAATCCTGCTGGGAAGCCAGGGATCTGACGGCCGTCGGCGGAGGTGCGGACTGGCGGTGGCTCAGGTGGGTTCTTGGACTCCTCTGAGTAGCCTACAGGATCCTCGCAAGGGTACGGACAGAAATTGGCAGGCTCGTTCATGTCGTTCCACAGACCGTCAATGTCAACACCAGTCGCCGGGTCGAAGAACTCGGCAAACTTCTGGTCCCAGTACTGCTGGGTGTTTGGGTGGAACCAGTCGGGGAAGACAGTTGGGCCGGGCCAGACCGCGCCTTCGAAGAAAGAGCCGTTCTCGCGCTTTTGGAAGACATCGAGCTCGGCACCGTCGTTGTAGCCATCGTAGTCGCCACTCCAGACAGCCGAGTTGACCATCATGATGTAGTGCTGCTGGTGAGCATGGAGGTAGTCAACCACCTCGCGAACGAGTTCAAGAGGGTAACGCTCTGGATCCAGAGTGAACAGGCGACGGAGCTCCATGTAGTCAATGTCGGTCCACATGGTCTGGGTATGTTAGCGAGGATCTTTGGACAATATGTTGGGATATGAAACTCACCTCGAGAGGGATGTCGGCAGCGGAGTAGTTGGCAACTACCTCAGCAACTTGCCAGACATCACGGTAACCGTACTTGCATTGATGAGATCCGAAACCCCAGTACGGCATCATAGCGGGAAGACCAGAGAGAGCAGAGTACTGGACTGCAACTTCCTTCGGTCCAGGACCAGCGAGGAAATAGAAGTCAAGAACACCACCTAGAGTGTTGTACTCAAGGAACTGGCCCTCGGAGTCGTCGATCTTGATGTCCATACCCTGAGAGCTGGCCAAGAAGACACCGTGAGTGCCGTTCTCGCCGCGGTGGTCAAAGTAGATGGGGTGGGCTCCGTAGAGATTGGAACCCTCTGGGGTACCGTAGGCATCACGGTTCCAGAGAGTGCGGGTGTAGTTGGTGGTGTTCAGATGGAAGTGGTCAGTCGATTCACCAAGCCCGTATAGGTTGGGCGAAGGAGGCAGAGCAGTCCTCAGACGAAGGTACTGCGATTCAAAGACGAGCGATGCAGCGGAGGTGTCGAAGAGAGTCTCGTTGGTCTCCTTGCGCTTGATGGCGAACGAGAACGGGCTGTCGGTCCATGTGAATGACAGGGCAGAGTCCTCGGGGTTGACACCCTCGTCATCGGAAGGACGAGGCCAGACAGACTCTTGGATCTGGAACACTTGCTCTTCAGCATCGAAGATCTTTACGTGGAGGCGTTCGGCTGTGAGATTGGTTAGCACTAGGAACGATTGTGATGATTGAAGAACGCACCAGTTTGGTACTCGACTTCAAGCTTGAGGTCAGTCAAGTCGTCGCCGTAGACATTGCAAGCGGTGCCCGCAAGCGTAAGGTCCGCGGTAACCTTGGAGCCATTATCCTGAAGGTTGCTAGCAGTGTACCCAGGGCAAGCTTCAAGTGATGAGCTTTGGCGTTGAACCAGCGAACTTGCAAACGCAGGTACCGCCACCCCAAGAGCGAAAAGGCCTTTGGTGATCATGGTGCCTGAAGGTATTGAGAAAGCCAGGACCGTGTTAGATGCTGATCGTCCGAGGGAACCTTCACCTTCTTATACTCGAGCGCGTGCAGCCGTGTGTGCTAGTCCGATGCACTACAACAACAAAGCACGCATCGTGATCTCGGTTCACACTTACCGTTTGCATGGCTAGGATAGGTGGATATGCACCCAAGGCGCGCTCCCCCGCAGTACCGTCATCATGGAGGTCGGACTTGCATGGCTTGGCAACGATGCGAGGGCCAGAGAGGCAACATAGCGGGGTCATTGGTTCCGCAGATTCACGCTGTGGAGAGCTTGTTTACCCGGAGAGAATCCCGTTTGGGGTTCGGCTGGCATGGAGGACATACGAGGCGCAAAACTCTGGGGTAAACGATCAGGTTTGTTTACGCGGGTGCGAGGCGCGACGCACGGCGGCTACGCTGATTCGATGGAAGTCGGGAGTGCGAGATGCCGGTCCGAGTTCTGGTGCCGGCGTGCCTTCGCGCTTCCATCGCCAAGCAGACGGCTGAAGAACGCCAAGACAAATGGTAAAGTTGGTCACATGTCGTGAGTCCAGAGTTCAGGCGTCGAGTTCCATGATATGTTCCAAATGTTTTTCCCGAAGTTGAACAGCGCTTGTGATACCGACCTTGCTGGCTAGCGGACGAGCTTGTACCGGGCGAGCATGTCGGACCGGGCGTGTGGTCTCAGCTACTGCATGGTCAAGTTTCATCGGGAAGGACCACACGAGCGGATAGAGTTATAGCATATCCCATGAAAGATACCTGGAACGCTTTGTTGGGGTATATAGAGGGCGGGAACAGCAGGCCGCATTTCTTGAGCCCTAGCTAGGTACGTCGGATTCACCCTGTAAGAGCAACTCGTTCTGGGTAAAAGGCGGCAACACGGAGCGCGCGAACGTCTTGTATGGAAGACCAGCTTCAAGGACTATATCACAAACCGTACTTGGAGATGTAGACACCACTCTAGATTATCACATACAGAAAAGCGTGGCCATGTAGACTTCCAACAAGTGTTTAGGGTGGATGTTCCTGAGATATCTGGACCATCTACGCGCACGGACGGAGACTAGCGCGCCTCTGGCCCAAGACCGAAAAGTTCACGAGCGCGACAGCAACAACCTCCAACACCACTCCACGTCACCATGCTTTGCGCAATCTCTGGCGAAGCTCCCCGCGAACCCGTTGCCTCGCGCAAATCGGGCAACGTCTTCGAAAAGCGCCTGATCGAGGCGCACATCTCGGAACACCACACCGACCCCGTTACTGGCGAAGACCTCGCGACCGAGGACCTCATCGAGCTCAAGTCGCCCAATGTCGTTACCCCACGCGCCCCCAGCTTCACCTCGATACCCGCCATGCTCAGCGCCTTCCAGAATGAGTGGGATGCCCTGGTACTAGAGACACACACGCTCAAGCAGCACTTGGCGCAAACGAGGCAGGAGCTGAGTACGGCGCTCTACCAGAACGACGCTGCGACACGGGTCATCGCGCGCATATCAAAAGAGCGAGACGAGGCGCGCGAAGCTCTGTCCAACGTCACCGTCAGTGGAGGCGGCGGCCAGGGCGATGCGATGCAGGTGGACGGCCAGGGCCTGCCTGAGGAGCTTGCCGCCCTCGTTGACGAAACACAGAAAGAGTGAGTCTTGTCCCCTCCTAGATTACATACCATGTGAGAGCCCCCGACTAACGCACTACAGGCTGTTCGGCTCGCGACGAAAGAGACCCGTACCCGCAGGCTGGGCCTCTGGAGACGCCATCTCCAACTACGACATTGCCAAGACGACCGACTCGCTATTCCCAGGCAGCAGCTGCATCGCTGTCAACGAGGCTGAGCTGGTCCTATTCGGTGGAGCTGATGGTACCGCGGGTGTCTACTCGCTAGCCCAAGGCAAGGTTCTGGAGACATTCAGCGCTGGCGGCGCCGTCACTTCGACAGCATGGTGGGGAGAGCGCGCTCTTATCGGCACTTCGACAGGCACAGTCAAGGTCTTTTCCAACGGCGATGAGGTTGCCCAGATCGGATCACACGCTGGCGCCGTCACATCCATGTCGCTACACCCCAGCGGCAAGATGCTCGCTACCGCCGGCGCCGACAAACGCTACGCAATCCACGAGCTCACCACTTTCAAGACCGTTTCGCAAGTCTACGTCGAAGCCGAAATCACCTGCGTCTCCTTCCACGTCGACGGCATGCTCTTCTTCCTCGGAAGCTCCGACGGCAACATCCGGATATACGATATCAAGACTGGTGCCAAGATGGCTGAACTCGAGACTGGCGCGCCCGTTGCGGATCTGAAGTTCTCCGAGAACGGAACGTGGTTCGCCGTAGTACAGCAGAATTCCTCCAGCGTCGCGATTTGGGATATCCGGAAGCAGGCAGCAATTCATACATTAGAATCTGGCAGCCCAGTCACCAGCTGCAGCTGGGACTACACCGGCACGTTCCTCGCGATTGCCGGCACGGGCAGCGTCTCTGTGCAACAATACACCAAGGCGTCGAAGAGCTGGGCTGAGCTGGTGAGGAAGGCAGCTCCAGCGAAGGACGTCGCCTGGGGTGGCAAGGCCGAGAATGTAGTCGCCCTGAACCCAGAGGGTGGCTTGGTTGTATTGGCAGCAGTTTGAAGTGTTTTGGGCTTCAGGGGTGACTTTTGGTGGCGTAAAGTTTTTGTGATAGGGCAGGCAGATGTGTACATCGGCTGCTATTTCATCAGTGTGTAGAATCAGGAGCTCGCGGATGCATTTAGGCTGGGGGGTTTTACGACCAAAATTTGAATAGGATACTACCACATGCTGTAAAACACTACGTCACGATCCATCTCGCACATGCAAGAGCAAAACAATGCGCTTTGGTGAAGGGGCTGGGTCGCAGAAGACGATAGAAACGGACAGAATAGCGGTCTATAGTCATTGTTCGATTCCAATCGACGGTGAAGGGTGATAGGTGATTTTGGATTTGACGTTCTGGCGTTTGTCATACTGCCCAGATGGATGTTGGAGCGCCACCACAGTTTCGCCGAACTCAGCACCCCCAACGGCACGAGACGGGCCCAACCTTCCCCCTTCGACACTCGCCGGTGCTACTATCGCCCGCCGCCAACCTCACCACGCACCCCGCAACCATCACCAGCCTGACATCCGGCATGGAAGGCGAAGGACGACCGAGTGGGTTCACGCACAGACAGCAGAAGGTGAGTGCCGTCGGCGGTAGTACCGCCAACATAAACAACAACAGGGTGAAGAGGCGCTGACCACGGCTGCTGCAGCGCTCACATGCACAAATGGACGGCGAGCAAGCGTCTGCCTCGCCTGCCTGGAGACATGGCTCCTTCCCCGACAACCGCGAAGCTCCCCCAACCTACCACGGCCTTCCCTTCGGATACGATTACGACGATAGGCAGAGCCCTGCTAACGACATCTACGACCCACCCGCCCGCTATCATTTCGACCGCCAGCCCACCCCGACCTTCGAGTCTGCATTGCGATCGCACGCCCGCCCGCCTATAGAACGCGCCTCCTCCAGCGCCCAGCACTCGCATACCGCCGGGTTACACCTGCCAAGATTGGGCAACATGGCGTCTTCGGCATCCAGACGGTTCGCGGGCGATGGCTTCGACTACAGGCGGCCGGCTGGCTCGGCAAGTCAACACACAACAGCGTCTGTCGACCTGACGGGGGACGACGAGGACGATGTGGCTATCGACCTGAGCCAGGACGACGACATCATTGACTTGACAGCCGATGATTCGGGCGACGGGGCGAGTCGCAATGGCAACAATGCACGCGAGCAACAACAGGATAGAGGACAGCAAGAGTCGCATCGCGGTCGCCATCACCCACGTCGTTTGCCAAGGGGCTTTGACATCATCATCGACCTCGACAATGGCGAGGAGGAGTGGCACCCCGATCCACCAGCGCCGCAACCAAGCTCGCCCGAGATCGAGTTCATTTCTTCGCGCACAATACCCGGCCAGCGCCCCGTTCAACCAGCCGACGGGAACGACTCCGATGGCGAGGATGTGCGGTTCATACGGGCGAACGCGTTACCAGAGGCAGAGGTACAGAGACGGCAGAGAGCCGAGCAGTTGGATAACGTCATGGATCTCTTTGGGACATTGAACGGACGTTTCACGCACCTCCGAGCCCAAGTCGATCGATTCCACGAACAGGTCAACCGCACCGCAAACCGCTTCCACGAACCCGTCGCCCCTTCGCGCAGTGCCTCTCGGGGTCGTGCGCCGCACATCCGAGTAGGCGCATTCCAAGCGCCCATGCTGGACTTCGATGTCATAGGCTTCGACATTGGCCCACGGGTACGCGAAGCACCGCCTCCTCCAGCTACCTATGACGCGCCACCACCAGCCCCGGAGGGCTTCACGAGGAGTCCAGAAGAAGAAGGAGAGGCGCTTATTTGTCCCAATTGCGAAGAACAGCTGTGTGTCGGCAGCGACGAGATCAAGAGGCAGGTGTGGATTGTCAAGGGATGCGGTCATGTAAGTCTCAGCTTGTGACGGACGGCACGACGACAAAACTAACAATGTGCTAGGTATACTGCGGCGAATGCACAGCCAATCGATCGGCGAAGCGCAGTGCCAAAGGCAAGGAGACGCGCGCAAACACGAACCCTTTCAAGGTCTGCGTGGTCGAGGACTGCGATAAGAACGTGTCCCATAAGAAGAGCATGATTCAAGTGTTCTTGTAAACACACAGTTCAAGAGATGGATACTTTCACGAGTCTTTTTCAATTTCCAGGACCTACATCCCGGCTCAGTCATGGTTGGGTGTTTTGACGATACCCTTGCTTGCATCTCTCTCTCTTATCATATCTATTCGCATTTTGTTTGCATTTTGCATAGCATGGCGTTTTTTGCATGGATGTTTGCAATTGAATTTACATATGGTACTAGCTCCTGCGAGCGGTCGAGTTCCTTTGTATGACCTATTGCCCCGGTGAGATGGAAGAGGAGCAAGATGAGGGATGACGGGCGTAATTATTATGCATGGATCTAGATGAATCTGCGATGTGGATGATTCCGATTTGATTGCGCGTGAATATTGACGTGCTGCATGCTCGAATGAGTGAGAAAGACAGCTTTCGTATTGTATTGCATTAAGATGAATATATAAGCAAGTAGGTAACACCAAAACGTTGTCTAAGTATGGTATAGCCCTCTACCGGTATTCAAAAAGTCGTAAAACAAAGTCATGCAACACATCCTCGGCCGGCGGGAGCCTCAGACATTGTATTCCAATGATGAAGTTCGTGGACATCGTTACAACTTATTCCGCATTTGTTGCAGGTTCATTTTTCGCTACCTAGGTATGGATAAAGATAATTAATTCAGATAAATGTACTAGCTAAGCATCTATCTTCTAATATATAAAACCAAGGTTTCTGTTGAGAAAAGACCTTCTAGGCTTGAGCGAACACGGAGCATGTGGAAGCTCGCGGGGTGGTAATGTATGATGATTTCATCTCACGTGGGTGTACCTCGGGAATCCGGCCGTCAGCGTCGCCAAGAACAAGGGTCCTCAGGTACGCGAGACCGAGCTGCATGCGAGAAAAGGCAGCTCAACTGCCATGCTTCCCTCGGGCCTCAGGCACACACAACACATCCCGTCACCTCACACAGCCATCTCCGGCCCCCCTTTCCATCTTCGCCTCGAACTGCTTGATCGACCGCAATTGAGCGAGTAGACGAACATGTCGGCCAAAGCAAAGGCAGCACAGGCCGCAGCCCCCAACGACCAGCGCCCTACCAAACCATCCGGAGGAGCGAAGAATGCGTATCTCATGCTCTACAACGCCGTCTCTGCAGCACTATGGGCCGGTGTACTCTTCCAGACCGTCACGATTGGCGGAAACGAGGTGGTGAATGCGCAGAAGGCGGGAAAGTTCTTTGGGAAAGACGATTGGTTCACCGCTACCAAGCGTGGGTTGGGCAGTGGGAAGGTGTATGATAACCTGGAGGGATACACGAGGACTGTGCAGACGTTGGCGGGGATGGAGGTGTTGCATAGTTTAGTCGGTATGTCTCTACATTTCACATCCTCTACCAAGGACGGTACTAACAGCACAACCAGGACTCGTCCGCGCTCCCCTTCTAACCACCCTCATGCAAGTCGCATCTCGCTTCCTCCTCGTCCACCTCATCGCGTCACCCCCCGCCTTCCCGCTCTCGACCCGCCACTCCCCCGCCTATAGCACTATGCTGCTCGCGTGGAGCGTCACAGAAGTAATCCGCTACTCCTACTTCGTCTTTTCCTTATCCGGTGCCGGCGTCCCTAAACTGTGGACCTGGTTGCGATACAACACTTTTCTGGTCCTGTACCCTCTTGGTATCTCGAGTGAGTGTTGGTTGGTGTACCAGGCTATCCCTTTGGCTAGTGAAAGGAACGAGTTGTTTGGGTACGCGCTTTGGGCTATACTGGCCATTTATGTCCCAGGAAGTTACATTCTGTTCTCGCATATGTTGGCGCAGAGGAGGAAGATTGCGAGGCAGAGTCGAGTAGCGTAATAGGTGATGGGTGACGATAACACGCACGAGGGAGATGGCAGGCAGTTAGATGGAGAATATACAAATGGGATAAGCTAAGCCTGTTCTCGAAACGCGGCAAAGGTACAACGCTACGTGCATTCGATAGCCCAAGCTACGTGACTCACACGCCAACAACATCAACACATAGCCTCATAGATGCTTACTCCTTCCCCCCTTCCTTCGGCCCCGTCTACGCATTCCTCTCCCCCACATCCAAAGCAACCAAAAACCTACTCACGCAATTATACGCCGCGACCGTCGCCGTAATCTCCACAATCTCCTTCTCGCTGAACCCCACCGTTTTCAACTGCTCGAACACACTGTCTGGCACACGAACGTCTAGTGTCATGGCATCCGTGTATGCCAGTACAGCGCCCAGCTTCTCGCCTAAGTCGGCGAGTGGTTCCCGCGGTTTGGAGTTTAGGACGGCGAGGACTTGGGCTTTTGTGACATCTTGTTGGGGAGTGAGTAGGTGTCTGGGAGGGGGGGGGGGGGGGGGGGGAGGGTGGGAATGG